GGAGCGCTGAGCGCTTCCCTCCTGTCAGCCCCTCTCCTCAGGTTGCGCCCGGGCGGTGAGGTCCGCCCTCATGGACGCACCGCCCTGGCAAAGCTGCAGACGCCTGAGGCTCTCTACAGAGCGCTCGGGCGGCTGCAGCATGGGGGGGGCGGCGGGGCTGGTCATGGCACCCCCCACCCTGGTGGCACCCGGGGCGGACCGGGTAATAAATAAAACTTTGTACAGGAATAGCACACACCAACTTTACAAAATACATGAGAATTTATTTGATATAAGTTTATGTGCCAAAAACAAAAAAACCCACAATTTTACTCTGATATTTAGCAGAGGTTGGCGCTGAAATGGTTACGTAGAAATTGTCAAAACAACCCTAGGTAAATAGCCTGTGATGTCTATTTTATGTTGTTTTCTTTTATGGCTATTAAGCTTACAAGACAAACATATCAAATTCTAAAATCTTCCACATTAAAAGTTTATTTTACTCCTTGTGCTTTGTGACCTGTAACTACCACAAAAAAAAAAAAAACTTACAATCCCAGACACATTATATATTCTGTAAATCAGAACAACTAAATGAATTTATTTTTAATTACTTTCCTTAACCTGCACTAATTATGCACACATTATTATTGCAAAAACTGTAATTTTTCTGTATTTTTTTTATAATAAATAAGCTTTTATATATATGTGTGTTACATCAAATTAAAGCCCTTTCTGTCCTTTAAAAAAACAAAACGATATATAATATGTGTCGGTGCAATAAATTATCAAATTGAACGCAAACAGCAAAAAATGCTGTTGTCATTATGTGAAAGACAAGCTTCTGAAGCTCTGTCCTTAAGGGGTTAAGCTGCCATCTTGCCAGTGAGCTCTGGCTTATTTAATTGAAACAAGATACAATTTACAATATTACTTAAATAATTATGAAGACATAATCCCCTTTCTCACCTGTTTTTTGTACTGGAACCAGACAAATGCAGAGAGGAATAACATAATTAGTATGAATAAAACAAACGGGTGTCTCCATTTTGCAGCCATTTTGTGTCATTTAATGGTAACCCTGTTAAAATACATGTTTGCATTAGTTCAGAACACTGTAGAAACAGAAAATAACCAACAGTGCAAACAGAGTAAGCCATCAGGATTACAAATATCCATTTTAGCATGCCTGTCTTCATCACATATGTAAACAGAAAGTAAATCTAGTGAAGTGTGGCTGGACTGTTCATATGTTCCCTCATGCGGCGTGCAGCATTCCTAAATAACAGAATACCCAGCTACAAAAAATCATATCAGCATGTAACATTCAGATTCACTGTACCACACAGTAGCAGTGAAAGATGGGTCTGTGCACTGGGTAAATGCACACACCTCCTGATTTAACCACTGCACCAAAATGGACCAAAATCCTTTCTCATGTACAGTTAAAGGGACACTATAGTCACCTGAACAACTTTAGCTTAATGAAGCAGTTTTGGTGTATAGAACATGCCCCTGCAGCCTCACTGCTCAATCCTCTGCCATTTAGGAGTTAAATCCCTTTGTTTATGAACCCTAGTCACACCTCCCTGCATGTGACTTGCACACCCTTCCATAAACACTTCCTGTAAAGAGAGCCTTATTTAACCTTTCTTTATTGCAAGTTCTGTTTAATTAAGATTTTCTTATCCCCTGCTATGTTAATAGCTTGCTAGACCCTGCAAGAGCATCCTGTATATGATTACAATTAGAGATTGAGATACAATTATTTAAGGTAAATTATCTCTTTTTGAAAGTGAAATCAGTTTTTTTTTTCATGCAGGCTCTGTCAATCATAGCCAGGGGAGGTGTGGCTAGGGCTGCATAAACAGAAACAACGTGATTTAACTCCTAAATGACAGTGAATTGAGCAGTGAAATTGCAGGGGAATGATCTATACACTAAAACTGCGTTATTTAGCTAAAGTAATTTAGGTGACTATAGTGTTCCTTTAAGCAACCAGATGAGTGAAGTATGGATGTTAAAGGGGACTCACATTGCCTCTTTTTGTGGGAGTGCCTCAGTGAAGGGCCAGCTGTGTCCTGTCAGGAATACTATGTGATCGTGTCAGGAGGGATCGATGTGTAATATTCAAATAATGTAAAAGAGATACAAACCTGTCACCGATCCCAGAGGAGTGATTTCTCTGCATTCTTTATCAGCAATGTGTTCAGGATTTTTACACAGACCTGAGAAATTTTAACCAGGGAAAAATAATGTACAGCCTTCTTAACCTTGACACACATGACCATTTGCTGTGAGCTTCTGAGTGCTAAAGATTACAATTTGTAGATAAAAGTTTTTTTTTTTCTTGAAGTTTAACCCCTTAAGGACAGAGGCAATTGTGCACGTTCTAATCAAAACAAAACCTTGGATATGCGCAATAAGTCTGTTCAACCATAATTCCCCTCTTTTATATTAAGTGCACCAACACTTATTATATATAATTTTATTCAGAAGAAACAGGGCTTTCATTCCACATCTAACATCCATATATGAAACATTATTTAATATGCATAAAATAAAATCTAAAAGAGAGAGAGAGAGAGAAATTAAATAATTTTGTTATATGTCAAGTTCTGCATGGCCTTTTAACTGTGAATGTCATACTACTGTTAGCATTTACTGCAAGAAAATACACATATTTCTGTTCAGTGATGTCACACAAGTACAGTAGTACCCCCTATGTACAGGTTTTATGGGGGTTTTAGGAAAGTTACAGGATTAAATACAGAGATTTCTCCATTTACAGTTTCTACACAGATTTTTTATTTTTATTTTCCAGATTGATTTCCTGGGCCAATGTTGCCTTTGAGACCGTTTCCAGGAATGAAATTTACCCCTATCGTGGCATACTATTAGGGAAAGTAGACAACCCAGGGTATCCAAAATGGGGTATATCCAGTTTTTACAATAGTCACTTACAGAGGCGTAACTAGAAACCACGGGGCCCTGGTGCTAAAATTGCCCTGGTGCCCCCCCCCCGTACGTCTACCCCCTCACCACCCTCATCCCATACGTCCCCCATCCCGTTCCCATACGTTTCCTGCTCCCCCACACATGCAAACAGATGCACATGCAGACACACACACACACATGTAAAGAGATACACACATACACACACACATACAAACACACACAAATATATACACACACATACAGACACACAGACAGACATACACATACATACAGACACACAGACACACACAAACAGACATACAGAAACACAGACAGACATACAGAAGACATACAGAAACACAGTCAGACACACAGACACACACAAACAGACAGAAACACAGACATACACACACATACAGACATACACACAGACAGACACACAGACATACACACACATACAGACATACACACAGACAGACACACACACACACACACACACACAGACATACATACATACACATTATCTCCAGAAAACAAAAGAGAGTACACCCCACCCCAAACTGGGGTAAGGAACTCTGTACTGGTAAATTATAAAAGAAGAAAGTTAATATTGTCAGCTAAATAACTTACTTAAAGATAAGCCTGGTGCAGGGCCAGATTAACATAGGGGCTGATGGAACTACAGCTCCAGGCCCAGGCCCAGGCCCAGGCCCAGGCCCATGGAATAGGCCCATTGATTTAAAAAAAAAATTACATTTTAAATTTTTATTTTTTTTACACACTACTCTTAGGTTTGCCACCTGGCCGGTATTTATTTGAGGCTCCCTGGCCAGTGCCAATATTGCAGTAATACCGGCAATACAAATGCCCGTAATTTTCTCATTATAGCACTCTGCAATACCATTACTGGCCAGTAGGGGTTGCTGTGTGTGTGGAGAGAGAAGTTACAGCATATACCTGCATCTCTTTACTCACTATCCACGGGGGAGCAGCTACACAGCACAGAGAGTCCAGACAGCAGCTTCAAGCCAGCAGAGACAGCTCAGGGAAGTGAGGAATGGGGTAAAGGCTGCAGGGAGACCTGGGGACACTGAGACCCTAGGGGACACTATGAGACATGGGAACACAGGGAGACCTCTGGGGACGGTGAGACACAGGGACACAGGGAGACCTCTGGGGAGACATGGGGACAGACACACATGGGGACACAAACACTAGGGGACATTGAGACACTAGGGGATGCTGGGAGTCATGGGGACAACATACACTTGGGGACACAGATACACATAGGGACACTGAGACATGGGGAAACAGACACACATGGTGAAACTTGGGGTCACTGAGGGACATGGGGACACAGAGAGACATGGGGACACATAGTCTCAGTGTCCCCAAGTGTCTGTGTCCCCTATTGACATGGGAACACTGGGAGACAGGGAGAAAATGGGAGCAATCCATCTATTTAGCAGAATCAAACTGCAAGTAGTTTTTTGGTGATTTCACAGAATTTTCTCTGTCACTTCTTGTGATTTACATCATGTGAAGTCACACATACATAATTAGTTATGCAAATTACTAAGGCCTGTACTTTTTCCCAAGAAAGGTGGCAACCCTAACTACTCTTCACATACTCTTGCTTAAGTATGGAAACTTAAGAGGGATAAATGAGAACAAAACCTGTGGGGACTGACTGACAATGAAATTAGTTAAGGTAATGCTGACTTTGGTCTCTCTAACACTAAGGCATGTTCCCTTTCTTTTACACTCATTACATCCACCTTTTCTCTGTCTCAGACTGTATACCAGGAGCTTCTGCCTGCTAGTAAGAAGGTAAGGAAACAAGTGGACCAGTGAGTGCTAGGGGACAGTCCTTAGAAGCATGGAGCAAGCGCATCATTAGACGCATTTATGCCAAGTTCAGGATGCTGTTGGCCAGCATGCATGATTGGCAGGCAGCCTGACATGCATTTATGCCAGGCTAGCATTCCAATTCTTTGGGCAGACATGCCTCCTTTTTGGGCATGTTGAGCCATTTTGGAAGTTCTGCTTACATGAACCGCGTCAGTGGCCCACCCTTTTATACCGCCCATTGACTTCTTGCTTCACTGGGCACTGCTGTTAGGGGGTATGGATTTACTTGAAAGATGAAAACATGAATTAGAGAGAGATTAACATATTTTAAGAGAATCTGAGTTTTTTTTATAACTGCATCCTATGAGTTTCCCTCCGGCAACATCGCCAACAGATACATAACGCTTGAGAGGTATGAATGTTTTCGTTTTTTTGGTCGATAAGATTCTCTACTTAGGCCCCTCATAATTGTCAGCACTAGGCCCACTGGACTCTTAATCTGGCCCTTGCCTGGTGTGGTAAATACGTCTACAGACCACAGCTGAATTGTACAAAATGTATCAAATTAAATAAAGACTTTATTGAATAAAAAATAAAAAAAAATGTGATACAAATTGAAATAGAGTTTGGGAAAACCAATAGTTGAAATGTGTATGGCTAAACCACATCCCATCCCTGTATAATGGTTTCAAAAAATTTCTGGGAGGGGCGTGCCTAGCTGCCGAAGAAGATGGTTGCTTAATCTAACAGCTCCTCGTGGTCACAGCGAAAAATTGCACTACTAGGCTCACCACACGCATCCAGCACCGATAATGTGGCGCAATAAGAAGCAGGCGGATCCCCCCGGCACCCCCAGACCATCGGGGTCCGGAACGGAACACTCCATCCGCTCATACCTCACCACACCACAGGATCTCGGGTCACAGCCAGACACGGAAGCCCCAGACCCGACCGCGGACTCGCCCTCGGCAACTCCCACTCAATTCTCCCCGACACCATCAGACCCACCCGAAACCCAGGGGACACTGGAGGTAGAACTCAGGGCCATACTACCCACCCTTCTGACGAAGGCAGACCTCGAGGCGCTGTCGGACCACCTCAGCTGGGTGATCCGCAACGAGCTGACCCAAGTGAAGGCGGATATCACCAACATGGACGCCAGGCTGACAGCAACGGAAGCGGACACCCGGGCCCTCCGCACGGAAACTGACGCTGCGGTCTCCACGATCACAGGCTGTGAAACGAGCCTGGCCCATATCACTACATGGGTCCATGACCTAGACAACAGGAGCCGCAGAATGAACATCAGGGTGCGGGGGGTGAGAGAGATGGGCCCCAAGGAGAACATCCCAAAGATCCTCCGCACAGTTTTCAGCCGCGCCCTGGGGGGACAACAACCCAGAATAGGCCTCGTACGAGCCCACCACGCACTCCGTGCACCTCCAGCGCTGTGGGATCAGCCGCGTGACATCATCTGCTGCCTGGATAACTTTACCCTCAAGGAAGACATTCTCCGCAACGCCCGCTGAATGGACCACATCAGGCTGGACGATCAAGTAGTGACGGTCTACCAAGACCTCTCCCGCTATACACTGCAAGCCAGGAAGACCCTCCGTCCAGTAACAGCAGCACTCCAGGCAGCGGGTATCCCGTACCGCTGGGGATATCCCCTCTCCCTCTCCATACGCAGGGGACAAGAGCTACACACCATCAAGACACCGGTGGATGTCCAGGGATTTCAACGCGCTCTGGGACTCCCTCCTGCCAGAGTGCAGAATTGGCTGACCCACCACTTCATACAGGGCGGCAGGCCCTCCACTACCACCGCCTGACAGATCCGCAAGCCGAGATCAGCGCAGACACTCGGGGCACTCTGGCCCGGCCAGACCCGAAGAATAACAGCCGCAATGAGAGCCCAGCCAGAAAGGAGGAACGGTGCAAGCAGCACTCCGCGCCACACATCACGCAACAGTGAGTAATGACACTATATCTGATTGGGGGACATTGGCTACCTGTCCACAGGGTTACAAAGAGGGGAAGGGGGGCTACTCACAATGCGGGAGGGGGACAGGCACAAAAACCGCCATCAGGAGCGCAGACACCAATCCACCATCCCCATACCCAGTAGCGGGACCCTACACCTGGGGGTCAATGGCCCCACGAACACCCACCGGCTTGGAGGGGGGGCACCATTTGGGTGGGGGACAGGGAACCAGGAGTACACGTTGAGACTCGCAAGCCGCACAATGAACTACGCCATTGGAACCAGGCCCCTCAATGACTAAGAGACCAGGAACGCGTAATCCACTCCCGAACGGGGGTGCCACACCCCACAGCAGTAACGGGGAAAGGGATCAGGCCAGGGAGATGCCATGGAAAAACCGACAGGCGTAACCAGAGGGACGAGGGGAGAAGGTTGAGCCATACACACGAAGAAAATATACACACAGCAACAGCCGACTATTGGCACTCTAGGAAACCACGCAGAACACACAAAATACTGAGACACAACACTACATACATAAGACACGGGGGGAGGGAGGGGAACCCGGGAACAGGGGGGGACACTGATACCCCGCAGAATAAGAGGGGGGACAGGGCAGGAGGGGAGGACTAAGACGAGTAGGCGAGACAGCATGGGAGGAAACGGGAAGTGGAGAGGGATGAGACACCAAGGAGGGAAGGGGAACGGAACAAACACACGAGGTGAGGGAGGGGGGAGGGGGGTGAGAAGAAGGAAGGGGGAAAAAAAACAGGGTCAGAGGGGACTACAATCCAACTCCTAACCGTCAACACCAATGCAAAAGGAACAGGGAGAGCAGAGAGGTAAAAGGGGGGCTACCCCCCCACGCCGCCAAACCAGACCCAACAACACCTAACCCCATCCAACCCAGACCCCAAGGAACGCACACACCCTGCATGCAGGGAACCAGCCCTAACAAGGGGACAAGTCACAGGGCAGCCCCCACAACGCTAGACCACCAACCATCAGAAACCACACGTAGCCAATCCTCACACGGACCAATAAATACTCACGCACCGTTCCCACCAAACCTGGATCATACACATAGACTGATAACCAGGCACCCAACCCAACCCATACCTCTGCAGGGAGCCCGCCGACAATGCCACCCCACCACGACATCCCCCCCCCAAAAAAAATGAACTAAAAGGTGCAGCCACAAATCACACCTAGAGACCACCACGAGCCACAACCACAGCCACTGTCTAGACCACTACCCACGGTCACACAGAGAGCACAGAAGACAACCCAGACCGCTAGGACCGGAGGCCGAACGGCCTCGACCCGCCCCAGGAGGTCATAGGACAAAGCCCACCCCTACGCTAGAGGGGTACCATACCCCAGAGGTAATCCCGGGCACCCAGAATACAGGGACCCGAGGACACACCGCCCGGATACTTGTCCACAACCCCAGCTTAAACGGAGAGCATACCGAGCTAGACATAAGGCCCCCCCGCCACATGGCATCCGCCCCAGGCCTGCAGGCCCCGAGAGGGGTCCACTATACCAGAGAGGACCTGAACATTGTCACATATAATGTCCATGGCCTCAACATCCGCGAAAAGCGTACCAGACTCTTCAGTGACCTGAAACGGTATGGAGCGACGGTAGCATACATCCAGGAGACACACTTTCAAAACTTCCGGGCACCATCGCTCCGGGACCGCAACTTCCCAGTGGGATACTTCAGCAATAATCTGCAGCGACACACACTGGTAGTGGGCATTCTATTCTCCAGATGGACCCCATACATTGAACAAGACACGCTCCGATGCACATCAGGGAGATACATCTTCACAAAAGGCACCATCCATGACCAGAAATACACTTTCGCAAACATATATGCCCCAAACACGAAACAATACCACTTCCTCCGCAGGACCATGATAGCTCTGAAGAGGTTCGCGGAGGGCACACTGATAGTGGGAGGAGACCTTAACCTCCCCCTGCATGATCGAGACACCTCAGCGGCACACACACCGACACCTCCCGGCAGGCACGCAAGAACGCTCCAACTACTCCACCACCATCAACTCAAAGACTGCTGGAGGGCAATGAATCCTGAACTAAGAGACAACACATACTCGAGGCTGGACTACCTCCTACTGCCCTACCACAGCTTACCCCACCTAGTAAAGGCAGAAATTCTACTGATGACCTGGTCGGACCATAACCCAGTCTGCATACGACTACGATCCTCGCTATTCAGACCTCGCCTAGTTTCCTGGAGACTCAACGAGTTCATCTTAACAGACTCCACACTGGTGTCAAGGACCGTGCAGGTCCTCCAGGACTACTTCAACATGAACGAAACTGAGGACACAACACTCCTAACATGCAGGGAGGCACACAAGGCGGTCATACGAGGCCTTTATCATACTTTATCACTCACTGCTCGGCACGGAAGAAGGCTCACACTAAAACAGTGACGGATTTCAGCACAGACATAGCCCTTCTGGAGAACCAACACAAATGGACACTGGATGCCTCAACCTATAGGGATCTTCTCCACAAATGCTCCCAACTCGCCGAGCACATGAACCGTTTCATCCAACGATCCTTCCAGCACTTCCGACACCTGGTGCACGAACACGGGAATTAGTGCAGCAGGCTACTCGCAAATCTACTGAAGCGTCGTAGGACACACCTCTACATTAACAAAATTAAAGACCCGTCCCAGCGGATGCACCACCTTCCAGACCAGATCTCCACCACATTCCTTAACTATTACCGAGACTTATACAACATACGGCACTAGGCACAAGACACCGCAGAAGCCCACGGACACAATACCATTCACACACACCTGACATCAGCAGGGCTACGCCAACTAACGGACCCGGACCGTGAACTGTTGGACGCACCCATCGCCCCAAAGGAAATTTCGATTGCCATCAAAAAAGCGCAGACGGGCAAGTTGCCAGGACCAGACGGCCTGCCGTTACAATATTATAAGACCTTCCAGTCCGAACTCCTCCCGAAACTACACAAAGCCCTGAACTCAATCCTCGAAGGAGCGACACCCTCAGCCCAATTCACGGCAGTAAACATCACACTCCTCCCAAAAGAAGGCAAAGACCCAACTTCCTGCCAGAGCTACCGTCCGATCTCGGTCCTAGATGTCGATATCAAGCTACTGGCCCGCTTGCTGGCCAACCACCTGGCACCTCTCCTGCTGGACCTGGTGCATCCTGATCAGACAGATTTCATCCCAGACAGGGAGGTCAGGGACAACACCATACGAGCGCTGAACCTGATCTCCGTGGCATCACGATCCACGCGACCATCTCTACTTCTGTTGACAGATGCCGAAAAGGCCTTCAACCGGGTAGACTGGAACTTCATGTTCGAGACCCTCCGGACCATAGGTATTGGACCCAGATACATCCAATGGATGGGCTCAGAATCAACGGGGCACTTACAGACCCGTTCCAAATCAGAAACGGGACGCGCCAAGGCTGCCCCATGTCGCCCATACTATTTGCACTCACCTTAGAACCCTTCCTCAACAAAATCCGAAGCAACAAGGAGATCCAAGGATTGCAAATAGGCCAAACACACCACAAAGTGTTGGCCTACGCAGACGACCTTCTTTTTCTAGTACAGGAACCCACCAGATCGCTATGAGCGATCAAAGCAGAATTCGAGACCTATGGCCGGATATCCAATATGCGCATCAATGACACCAAATCGGAAATCCTAGGCCTAACAATCCGATACCCGCAACAACTCGAACTTTGGCAGTGCTTCCCATACCGATGGTGCACGACCAAGATGAGATACCTGGGGGTATGGCTCACGCAAGACACAACAGACCTCTACACCCACAATTATCTACCGCTTCTGCGAACAGCGCAGGCTTAACTCCAAACATGGAGTACAACATACATCTCTTGGCTGGGATGCATAAACGCAGTGAAAATGACCCTGCTCCCCAAGTTCCTCTTTATCTTCTAAACGATGCCCAAAGTCATTCTTTGTGATGAGAGCATTCTCGCCACATTGCATTGGAGAAGTCTCTGACGAAACGCGTTATGGAAATTTAATTATTGTGTTCTTTTATATATTAAAGTATTTTTGGTTATCTGTTTGTACCAATAATCTTTTTTATAGACACATAATTTTCCTTTTTTATTACCCTGGCCTTTTTAATTATTTTATCCTTTTTTACTGGTTTTAAAAAAAACCTTGAGAATCCCTGGAAGCCTCCTGTACTTAAAGAAATCCTAGGTGGGGATCAATCCACCCAAGCTGTCATCACGGAGCAGTAAATCTGCTCCTGCTTTAGAGGAACCCATTTAAATCCTACAAGCGGGGATTAAACCGCTGTATGCGCCTTAACCCAGAGCTAGGACAATAGCTCTGGCAAATTGGAACCGCTACATTAAGAGAAGACGTCATTAGCAAAGACCATCTGTAAGGATAAAAACATTGGGACTTTCCTTTACATTGGACTTTATTTTTACTTATGTGCGCAGCCTTTCTCCTATTATTTTCATCCATCCAGTTCTAAAGGGTCTGAGGGATCCCCTTTTAAGGTTGCTGCCTATAAGTTATCTAGCGCTGTCTCATTTCCATTTTCTTATTGCATTGGAGAAGCCTGGTTGCCCACCTGCTGCCTTTAGACTATGGCCCCATGTTGAAACGCTGGATTTTCCCCTGCAAAGACATGACAGCCGGGTCATTTGGTGCTTGCCATGTTTGAGCAGTGATACCCCAGATAGCTATGCCATGGAGCCCATTCGTATAATGAAAGACTATGGGAAATGGCTCCATGGCAATTGAACTGTATGTGTGTGCTCTGAGCGCCATTCACTAATAATGTGCGCTCAGATCTGAGCTATCTGGGGATATGTTGAATGTACCTGTTTTGTGCAATGGCTGCACAGTTATATGTTTTTATGTGTTTTATTGTCTTTTGCTGCCATGTGTTCAATGGAGTTTTGCCTCTGTCCTTGGAGATAATTGCATTACTTCTTAATTATCTCGAGGATAGAAGGCTCTGTGGAACTGGTTTTGGGCAGAAAAGCCATGCTTCCTTTGGTCACAAAGGACTACGATCTATCTTTTGAACCATTGGACCAATTTGTATGAATTTGACGTATGTTTGTATTTAGAGTATGCTGATTCTGAAAATGTAAATACTTTTCAAGTTATGAATAATGTGGAAAAATTGTATTTCTCTGCTTGTGCTAATTAAATTACCCATTGTGTAAGGTAATTGAATCACAGGCAGAGGGGAGGATTTTGTGTGGGAGTGTCTGAGTGTATTGTATGTGTTTATTGGTTGTGTTCCAAAACCCTGTGGGTGGTACTAATGTGTAAGAATGTGTACATAAGCACAATAAACCCACAGCTCTGTCTGTTCACTGCTTGACCCTCAACACGGAGCTTTGTCTCATTCTTGGGGGATTTACTGTATGCTGTTCCAGTTTGACTGCTAGGAGTGTAAACCTATTCGTATGGTTTTCCTATTCGGCTGTTTACAGCATTCGTATGGTTTCCTGTTCGGCGGATTGGTGTTCTGCAGTAGCTGTGCCTGCATCTCTGGAAAGGGGGACGATCGCCTAAACAGTTTTTACCCCTTATGTGCAAAACGGTCCGTTACATTCTTCACCACCATCCAATCCACAATCCGTAACTTCATTTGGAAAGGGAAGCCTCCCCGAATCGCCCACACTCAGCTGACTCTCCCCAAGCTCAAAGGGGGCCTGGCCCTCCCAGACTTGCGGAAATACCACCTAGCGACACACCTCACTCGAATAATCAACTGGTCGGTAAAGACCAGAGACAAACCGTGGGTGCAATTAGAGGCAGACAGCACCAAATACGACCTCACGACCCTCTCCCCTGGATCACGAAAAAGAAGCCACCAAACAACTACAACACACCAACCCATTTGTGAAAGCCACCCTACGTATCTGGCACCAGAATGGCCCCAAACACTACCTTACGACCAACCCCAGCCCGCTACTTCCCTTAAAAGGCAACCCGGACTTCCCGGCGGGCGACATGGGCCCTACCTCATGCTCAGCAAATGGTAACATGACGCTCAGAATGATAGATATAATTTCACCCCCATTCCTAATCAGACCGATCGAGGCCATCTTCCCGGACCAGAGACACACATTCGCACACAAGCTGGCGAGGGAACAAATGTCCCACTATGCACACTCCATCCCCCAATGCCCCTACCTGACAAGAGATTGCACAGAGTTCGAAACCCTGTGCAGACAGGACAAAACCCCACCGAGGGACAATCTCCCTGATCTACAAATTCCTGGTAATGAACCGATATCTCTTGGCCCCCCCATGCATCAGACGATGGGAAGAGGACCTAGAAGAAGAACTTAACGCGGACTGGGACAAAATCATCCTGCACGTTCAAAAGACCCCGAGCTCAGCTAGACACCAGGAAAACACATACAAAATCCTCACCAGATGGTATATCACCCCCGCCACCCTCCACGCACGCAATAACTCAATACCAGCCACATGCTGGCGATGCGGAGAGGAGGACGGTACATTCCTCCACATCTGGTGGGGCTGTGCCCTCATCCAACCGTTCTGGGAAGCGATACGCCAAGTCATCCACACAGTGACCGATGACACCCCACCCATGTCACCAGCCTTCTTCCTACTACACCACACAACAACACCCACTCCGACCTATAAAAACTCGGTGGTGCCACGTTTGCTCAATGTGGCGAAAACGACTATCCCCATATTTTGGAAACAACCACGTGCCCCCCCACTCAGACTCTGGGTGGAGGAGGTGGAGGACACAAGAAAATTCGAGGACCTGAAAGCCACCACGGCAGCGGCAAAAGAACTGGCTCAGTACTTGGCTCAGTACTGCTCCCAATCCAAACATAGAAGCGTCTGTATGGACGAGAAAGTGTTTAGTTGGATCAGGAGCAGAAAGTACAGGTGATTTAATGAGCACCGTCTTGAGCTGTTGGAAGGCCTGTTCACACTCTGGGGCCCATACTACTATCTTGGGGAGGTTTTTACGCGTAAGTATGGCACTTACTGGGCTTTAGGGTCAGTCCGGCCTCCCTAATCCGGTCTAGTATGGCTCCTATGTGGGTCAGGTGTTCAGGCCAGGAGCAGCTAAAAATGGCTATATCATCCAAGTAGGCGCAGGCATACTCCTGAAACCCATCCAGTAGCCGATCTACCATCCTCTGAAAGTTAGCTGGGGCATTCTTCATCCCGAATGGCATGACCTTAAACTGATACAGGCCAAACGAGGTGACAAATGCCGACTTGTGGATGGCATCCTCGGCTAATGGAATTTGCCAGTACCCCTTGCACAGATCTATTGTGGTGAGGTACTGGCCTCTGGCCATTTTGTCTAGGAGCTCGTCTAACCGGGGTATAGGGTAGGCGTCTGAGGTTGTTTTATCGTTTAGCCTCCGGTAGTCTA